TTAGGCTCTTAAAAAGTACTTCTAATACTTGAGTTAATGAAATTATGGAAAAATATTAACTATTTTGGGTGACTTCAAAGACAATATCAAACCAAAATTAATTTCTGAGGACAAATCAAAACTTGGGCAAAACTAAAATGGGCTTTTGCCGCCTTTTTTTTTTTTTAATCTTTTGGCTCTTCTAAAAATGGTCTTAAAGAAAACCTTCACTTTCCCATAATTAACTGCCTTAAGCAAGCAGAACATCAAAACAAGTCTTTCAATATTGCAGCTTTGTACTTTGCCCACGATTGTTACTTGCCATGCTTAATATCTTTAGGGTCCACTTTCTTTAGAACTGGCCCTACTATCATCATCAATATTTGCTTCACAAATCTCATCATCTAACTCAAATTTAAAGCCATAATAACTTCAAAAACAGGTTAGGCAAGAGGTCCATTTTCTGATATGCATGTTTAGTATTTGATCATGCAACAATTAATTAACTGTCTTTAAACGCGTACAGCTGCTCTTACCCATATATATATCACATATTTAATGAATCATGACAGTATAAGTATGGTTCTGGTAAGCCATCCTAATCGCATTTCTAAGCTAATAATTAATAATAACCGTATCAGCCTTTCGGAGAGTTGGGTTATGCAGGACCCATCCCATGATCCCTCAGAGACACATCATTTTCTTGCAGTATAAGTTGTAAAAACAGACAAGCACTAGTAGCTCAACCTAGCCACAGCCATTATCATGATGATGATGATGATGATGATTGGTCAAAAACAGTGAAAGAGACTGGAATTTGATTCAAATAGCTACACCTGGTGTTTCTACTCATCAAGTTTATGTTACTATTTTAAGCTTTTTTTGCTGCTTCGGAAATCATGCTTCGTTCATGTACCAAAAACAGAGCCAGTAAAAGACGAACAGGGAAGTAGGAAAAACACGGAAATTTCCAAGATGTTGTCTGTTTATATTATTTTAGTTAGACTAAGCTTTGAGTAATTAAGAATGAAATTTTGTTGACTTTAGGGGCTAACCATTTCTAATAAAATAGAGACCTGAGTACGCTATGTAACGCCCCATGTGAAAAGTGATTATAATAAAGAAGCACAGTAATACCTAACAGCTGAGACTAAGTGTGGTCGGTTCATCTCCACTTTTTTGCCTTCTAAGGTTTCTGTCAATTTTATGGGGGCCAAAAGGCAAGGGGAAGATACCATACACAACAATATCATACGGTAATGTCAATATCAATGAAAAATTCAATCCAAATAAGCTCCTTTCATGCTTCAAATCAAGGTTGAAAACCTGAAGATTTTCAAATCTGACCCCATGTCTTTGGCTCTATGAAGATACAAATTATATCAATTTCAAGCAGCCTGCTTAAGAAAAGGCTAATAATGGAGACTATCATCTAATGTAAATTTTTATTTTAACAATCGTTGGCATCATTTTCAACCATTTTCCATTGCTTAATCCCCAAATCAATTCATAATGATAATTATTGCCCATTTTTAAATAAGCACCCATCTTCAGTGATAGGTGGAATGATTATTATATTGCCTATTTCTTTCATTACACAGAACTACAAAAACCATACAACCTTATCAAGCAATCTCCAATTTCATTGTTTTTACTCTTTTGTTATATTGGTTAGAAATCATCTCGCCCCTCTAAGCAAAAGATATTGTTTAATACTCCATCCAATATTTATTATAAGATACTTTTAACCATTTCACGTATATTAACTTTTTTTAATATCATAAAAAATTTATATACACTTTCCTTTTACCTTTGTCTTTAAATAATAATACAACTACATTGAATATCTTTACGTTAATAAGAAGGCATAAAATTAAAAAAAAAAACTAGTTTAATCATTGCAAGGAGTTATGTATTGTGAACCAAAAATTATTTTTAAAAGGTGTCTTATAAATAGGATCGGAGGAAGTATTTCATTTTCTCTTCAAAGCTAAGGTATTTTCAGATTTTGCTGCATCCTTGAATTTCACTTCTTCCATACTCAAAGGTAACAGTTTATTGCTTTTGCCTGTGAGTGGCCTTCTGTACCTAACATATCAAAAGGGAAGGGGGGAAAGGGGAAGAAAAATTGTGCACAGTTGGAAGACTTGAACTTAATCCTATTGGCCCAACAGTGAATTTTTGAACTTCTCCAGCTGACCCAACTAATGATCCGCGATCATCATTACTACTGGTTTAACTTTCAAACTACTATATAATGCGGAGTGGAAGAAGCCGTTGGCAGCTAAATTTGAATTTTTTTACAACCGCTTTCGATGATGAATAGTAATTTGGAAGCTAGGATAGCTCACGAATGAGACTAGCTAGGCCAAGACAGCAAAGGACCCACGTTGCCCACCATGAAATATAAAAGCTAATATAAAGTGAAAGAAAAAATGGCTAGGTAAATTAGATTTCTAAAAGAACAAGTAAACTAAGCTAATAAAAAGACATGTTTTAACATATTTAAGAAATTAATCTATCGACATGTTTTTTGGAACGGAGAAGTTAATTTAAACAAATCTACGAAAATTGGCATTTGTGCAAGATACGGGCCCCTCTGACCCCTGGATTGAGGCATGTGCAAAACTGCAAACAGCAAGAAATTATGCTTTGTGAGGACGAAATAATATTTTCCAATGGGTTTTTTTTACTATTTTAGCTTCACGAGCAGCTTGGCCTGCTGACCCTAAAGGCTCAACCTTTTTTTGTTTTTGCAATAAACAAGAGTAGTTTACTTTTGCTCAGATCAGATGACTCTGTACCTAAAGGATTGGTCCAAGGCAAGGAATACATGACCGCTGGCCACCTTAATAGGAATTCTTATTTTGTCATTTAATCGAACAGCGAGTGTGCAAAGTTGATTGTAGAAGACTATCACATCACGGGGTAATTCAAGGGGGGAAAGTTACCTGATATCTCATTGGCGGTGTACCAAGGATTAAAAACAAAGTGGCGTGATAGTCTTTACCGCGCCAAATTTCCCATTTCGCCCATAAAATCCTGCAAAAGTTAATGTTATTGGTGGGGAATAATGGTCAATATCTTCATGCTTTTCTAGGGATTGTGATGAGTGATGACAAGGGCAGCTTTACTCTTTTGCATGCTTTGGACCCGCCTTGCCCTCTCTCGTCTCGTGAACCCTCCTTGTCTATTACTTGCTTCGTCTAATGAAATTATATGATGAACGATGCTCTCTTTTTAAGAAACGAGCATCACATGATGTGATTTGAGGATTTGATAATCTTGTGCCTGAAATTCCATTGGGAAAACCTATAGTTTATGTCTAGTGAGGATGAAGCTAGTGTAGAGTCAGTAGAGAAGAACTGTTGTGTTTTTTTGGCTTGCAAGGCGCAAAAAGGGTGTGAAAAAGGAAGCAACTTTCTCTGAATTAGTTAAGAGATTTATTGAGTGCCTCTTCCAATGCAAAAGGTGAAGGAAGAGGGGGAGAGAGATAGAGAAGGGAAGCTCAAGGCATCCCAGAAAGGGGTTCTTCACATGCTGGTGTGGGTGGGGTTGTGTGCTTGTGACTCTCTCATTCCATTTCTCATTGAAAGCTACCCATTTGCTTTTCTTCACCTAATCAAAGCTCGTGTCTTCATTAGAGAGTGGTCCATATATATATATCCACTTCCATTAACACTCTTCCCTGTTGATTTCACTTCTCGCCTCTCTTGGATCTTATAACATCATAGCCTGTAAATTGTACTTACAATGAGACAGTAAAACATGAGAAAATTCGTTGTCTCCAGTCCATTTATTCTGCTTTCCTGGATTTTGGTCATGTGAATTTCCTACTACAAGGAGAAAATAGGCCATTCTTTATCAAAAACAAAAACAAAAAGAAAAGATAAGAAAATCGGCTTTCTACATTTCTCTCTGTTTTTTTGAGTAGATTAATATGATGCCAACGTATGACTGGCATTAAATTTACAATAAGTTATGAATACCATAAATCAATATTCAAATTTTTGCAAGATATACCAGGCCTATCTGATTAAGTGTTTTTAAATGTGAAAAATACCTTTTAAAATAAAAATATGAGAAAAATTGAATGCGTGTAAAATTGTTTTTTAATAATTGATAATTAATCACAATCACAATATTTGCTAGCATTACATCTTCAAAATACATGCTATTTTTCAAATGATAATAATAATTATACTTTCAAAAATAATTACCATAAGGATCACTTATTTTACGAATCGTCCTTGGCTCCTTGCCACGAATTACCACAAGCATTTCTTTAATTAATTACTCCCTCTATCTTTATATGTAAGATATTTTTAATTAAATTTTGCATGTCACTAAAAGTTTATTATTTAGTTGAATTTATATAAAAATATAATGATTTTTCAATTTTACCTTTAATATCATAATTAATATTATGATGGCAGTAGAAAAAACATATAATTAATGATCTATTTTATTTTTTAAAACAAAAATAAAATTGATTAATTATTTAAAAATATTATTATTACTCTTTATATTTTAAAATAAAATAAACTTTTAAAAAATTCCTTATACATAAATACGGAGGGAGTATGTTGAATTTTTTAGTTACGAGGGGTGCAATGAAAGACTGTAAAATCTCTGGCTTTCAACATGCTGCGAGATATAAAAGAAACCGTTACCTAATAAAATCTGCCATTAAAAACTGATAACTAATAGAACTTTCATGTGTGTGACAATATAACAAGCAAAATATATATATTTATATACATACACACGATTTTTGTAATGTATAATCATGCATGCATTACTTCCACCTCACTTGTCTGCCTTGATTCATAAATTACTTCACTTTCTGTCCTATGTTCAAGCATTGTTTCAATATTTTAATGTTACAGAGACAAACTCATCTGTAGAATCGCCACACTGTGCCTTTGTTGTCTCCATTCCACCCTCTTTCTCCAACTATCAACAGATCTTGCAGCCCTCACTCAACATAATGACACAATTGCCCCTGCCTTTTTTCCGCCAGCTAGCTCCTTTATCAGGGGGATCCCCAAGGGTATATGTGTGAAATAGGATGCTAAGGTCCAACCCTTTATCTGCTGCAATCTAAGGATAAGTATAGATCTGTAAGTCAGAGCCTCTCTCTCTGTTTGTTGGTGATAAGGTCGTTGTTATTCAGAGATTCCATACTCTCCCAAGCTGCCATTTTTCTTGCCGGAATCTTCACTGGGACTTGACGCTGGAAATGGGTTTGTTTCAGAACGAGTGAGAACAAAAAATGGGTGAGGAAGAGGGAAGGAGAAAAGCCATAACAGACCAGGATTCGCTGGAGTCGTTCGCCGGAGGCTTCAGTATCCCTCAAGCTGTGAAGCTTCTATCTTCCTTGATTTCTCTTTCTCATTCAGTCCGGGTCTTCGCGGCAAAATGGCAACCGATTCGGAACAAGCTCGAGGAGCTCCATTCAGGGCTAATCGCCGCCGAGAACTGCGATTCCGGCGAGAACCCGTCGCTCTCCGGTCTGGTTCCTGCGATACTGGCCACCGTGAATGATTGTCATGATCTCGCTCGCCGCTGCGTTGATCTTTCGTACAGCGGGAAGCTTTTGATGCAGAGCGATTTGGATGTGATGTTCGCCAGGTTCGCTTGTCACGTGAAGAAGCTATCAGAGGTATACTCGGCTGGTATTTTGACTCACAAGTATGCCCTCGTTGTTTCAAGGCCTAGTCTTGGAGCTTGCAAGGATGATATGAGGTTTTACATGAGGGACTTGCTGACGAGAATGAAGATTGGCGATGTGGGAATGAAGAGGCAGGCTCTGATGAATCTGCACGAGGCCGTGGCGGAAGACGAAAAGTATGTGAAAGTGATTGTGGAAATAGGAGATATTGTTCATGTTCTGGTGAAATTTCTTGATTCGCCGGAGATGGAAATCCAAGAAGAATCTGCCAAGATGCTTTCTGTTATCGCAGGCTTTGATTCCCACAGAGGGATTCTGATCACATCTGGGATTATTGCGCCTCTGATCCGAGTTTTGGAATGTGGGAGTGAGTCAGGGAAGGTTGGGGCTGCCAGGTGTTTGATGAAATTAACGTCCAATTCAGACAATGCCTGGTCGGTTTCAGCTCATGGGGGAGTCACGTGCTTGCTCAAAATCTGCTCTAATGGAGAACCCAAAGGAGAATTGGTTGCTTCTGCTTGCGGGGTGCTGAGAAATCTTGTGGGTGTTGAAGAAATAAAGAGATTCATGGTTGAAGAAGGTGCCGTTTCTGCGTTTATCAGGCTTGTGAAATCCAAGGACGAAGCGATTCAGGTAAATTCCATACAGTTTATTCAAAGTATAGCCTCTGGAGATGAACAGGTTAGGCAAATGGTGATTAGAGAAGGTGGCATTCGGGCTATAATACGTATTCTAGATCCTAAATGGTCATGTTCTTCTAAAACCAGGGAGATAGGAATGAGAGCTATTGAAAACTTGTGTTTTTCTTCGTCTAGTTCTGTAAGCATGTTAATGAATCATGGCTTTGTGGATCAACTGCTATATTACATCCGTAATGGGGAGGTTTCCATCCAAGAATTGGCTCTGAAAGTAGCGTTCAGATTCTGTGGAACATCAGAGGAGGCTAAGAAAGCCATGGGCGACGCAGGTTTCATGCCAGAGCTTGTTAAGTTTCTAAATGCAAAATCATTCGAAGTTCGTGAAATGGCAGCTGAGGCACTCTCTGCCATTGTTATGCTGCCCAAGAACAGAAAGAAATTTGTGCAGGATGACCAAAACATCGCTCTTCTTCTCCAATTGCTTGATCCAGAAGAGGGAAATTCAAGTCACAAAAGATTCTTAATCTCTATCTTAATGTCATTAACAAGTTGTAACAGTGGGAGAAAAAAGATTGTGAGTTCTGGGTATGCCAAAAACATAGAGAAACTTGCAGAAGCTGAAGTCTCATCCGATGCCAAGAGGCTTGTGAGGAAGCTATCCACAAACAGATTCCGCAGTATGTTAAGTGGAATCTGGCACTCATGAATGTAATTCTTTTTCCCCCCCACCTTTTTTAAACTGTATATTTCATCAGTGTCTTTCAAGTTTTGCTAATTCGTTTCCCCCAATCTCAATATGTTTTCAGTTTTATTTTCTGCCCTCCCCATGACAAGAAAATAGCTCAGCTTTCTGTTGAGATTGTAACCAGAAGTGTAGTGATACCCCAAAACCAAAACAAAAAAGCTTGATTGTAGATTTTCTTGAGGATACTCTGGCATTACTTTTAGCCATGGCAGCTCTGTACCAAAGATGGAGAGAATTATATCGCCAAAAAGAATGTAATTACTACTCAGTACTTACAGTTATTTACAATACATCAGTTTGGATTTGGAAGTTTTCCAGAATAATATTATATTGTTCATGAGCTTGTGAGTTGGGTGGTGACCACATGGGAACAAGAGAGAGAAACCTGAATAATGTAAAGGCATGTGAGGAGGCGTTATCTTGCTTTGCACTAACTTCTTAACTTTGCATTATATTATAAAGGAAGATAGCGATAGATGAAGCTTCCATATGCTATGTTTGTCTGGTAGCGATATCTGTCTTCGTGCCAAGTCATTTTCTATGTTTTAATGAAGAATGTTAACCTGCGAATCCTTCTCTCGTGTGTGCTGTCTGAGAATTCTTAGATAAATAACAAAGATTAACCCACATGAATCCCTTCCGTTTATGCTATTTTTATCATCCTGGTCTGCTGAATTCGTGAATCACATTGGGAAGGAAACCCGTGCCTCTATCCAAACCAAGACTGGAAAATCACCAACGAGAGTTAACAGTAAAATATAATAAAAGTGTTTGAAATGGTGAAGGGAGGCCATTTATTGGAGTCAGTAAACGCCTCCACGAGAAGTTGGGGACGATGAGGGAAAAGAAGAGTGGGAGGCATGTGAATGTGTGGACCAAGCAGTAGGTCTTGGGGAGCTGTTGATGAGTAGGGGAAGGCACGGGAAGCCCATGTGTCTTCAGTCAATTTCTTTGAATCTTCTAAAACATGCCATTCGTCCTTATAAGAAATTAGTATCATTTTCATATAATATATATATATATATATTAAAAATAAGTTAACTAACAAATTAAAGTTGGTGTGAGTACTCAAGTCATTTAAATAAGTGATTGGGGATTTGAATCTCAGCTGCTTTACGTGTCCCAATTTAATTAAAAGAGGTTTATTCATTGCTATTAGTATATGAGAAAAGATACTTACAAAAAATAAGTTAACCAAAGCTAATTCTACTTGTTAAATTTGTACCAAAACACAATTATATTTTCAGAATGCATTAATTGGTGTTAAACTATTTGGTGGTGGTGGGTTCAGTAAACTTGAAGCACTTTTTTTTTTTTTGTCCTTTTCTTTTCTGGGGTTCTGATACCGAACAAAAACTGAGAGAGATGGAAAACAGAAAGACAAAACTACAATTAGAAACCAGAAAGTTAGATAGCATCCATTTTGCTGATGCAGTTCCAGAAAAGGGAATTATGGTAGTTGCATTTTGAGTGGGTGGACTTGGCTGCTAAGGAAAGCCTTCTTGAGATTGCTTTTATGTACGTCCAGATGCAGCACCTGAGTTCTTAGGATTCTTTCCTTTGTGCTTATGTCTCTCATCATAGGCCTAAACTTCATTAGCCCAGGTTGATTCAATTAAACTGAGGTCTATTCTTTTATATATATATATATGTATATATATTAAGTTCTCAAAACAAAAATCACCTAAACTTTTTATATTAACAAAAAAAGAGGTAAAGCACTTTAGATTCTTATATTAGTAAGTATTTTTTTTTATATATAATATAAGGAGTAGACTCCACTGACAAATAAATATATTTAACTGAGTCATTTTTTCCTATGGTCAATTTTTTAATTTAGATATCTAATTTAGTCAAATTTAAGCATTATTGAGTCTAGTTAAAAGCAATTTTATTACCAAAACCTTTTTGGTCGATGCTTGGGGTAAATGCTTAATTGAGAGTTGAGACTGGCTGATAAAGTAGAAAGTATGGGCTTTATGATAAAGGATTGAACACAGTATTCTTCTTAAAACATATTGGCCCAAAATTTTATGTGTTTGGGCCGAAGACCAACAGTTTTTATAACCCTCAATCTTGGCCCAAGAAAAATATCACTCGCTGTCAAAGCAGATGTACACTAAAAGAAGTTTATTTTAAAAAAAGAAAAAAGAAACAAGAAGGAGAAGTTTATCTATCATAATTTGGATTTTTTGAAAAAAAATAATAATAAATGTTATAATTTTCAAAATTTCCAGACATGAATTGATTTTGTATAAATTTAAACTCATGAACTGGAAGATTTATACATGTCTTATACAAATTTTTATATAATTATTTGATATTTGATATTCAATATATCTCCATTTCGTTGATATCGCATCACAAATATATTGTTCGAGACTTGTCTAATAAAATTATATCCCATATAAATAATATAATAAACTAAATAATGGTGACATAAACTTTAGTAACTAAATTAAATATTTTAAAATTTTAATTCGTGAAATAATTGAGGTTGTTTTTGAGCTAACAGATAATTGAGGTTAATTAAAATATTTTTTTATTTTATCATACTTATATAAAACATTTGAGTCGTAAAAAATATTTCAAAAACTTATTATATATATAAATTTAAATTATAATTATTTAATTCGGAAAATGAACTATCTATTTGATAAAGTTAGTTAATATTTAATTACATTTATAAAACAAAGAATTCACAAAAATATTGACATTCGATATAATTATTCCAAAAACAATAATTGTAAGCCGTAACAACTTTTCAGGAATATATCCATTTGAATTTAAAAAACATTAAATTACTATAATATATAATAGTATATATAACTGAAAAATGTAAAGAAATATTATTCTTGAGAGTGCGTGCTAAACAGATAGAGGAAATAATAAAGAAATACATTTTTTTACTGAGAAGCATGCATTTTTAAATTTTAAATTTATATATATATATATATAAACATGAAATTATTTTTAAAAAATAATGATCTGTTCAGGATTTTATTGTGATCCGTATTGTTTGATACAAGTTATACTGAAAATAATAAGAGGCTAAGAGTGTATCTTATCTTAAATCTACAGTAAAACCAAATTAATTTATATTACTATAGTGATATTGATATATTGATTTATCCCCATCTTTCTTAACAGATAAATTTTCAACAAATTTTACATGAAAAATCACACTGACCTTCCCTGATACAAACAAGACTGCCATGCCTATATAAACACCCATATATGCTGGTTAACCTCTCAATCCTAAATCACAAAGCCTTGTGAATCACGAAGATCTGATTATTAATCTAAAGTTACTGTTAATTCTCCGATTTGAATACAAGATGGGAGGAGCTGTATTTGCGACTGAAAAGAAAGCTTATCCCGGTAAGCTTACCTTTTCTGTTTTCAAAGCTTGCATTGTTGCCTCCATGGGTGGCCTCATCTTTGGCTACGACATCGGAATTTCTGGTAATCATCTTTCTCTTTCACTTTGTCCTTTATCTTCTTCTTTCTTTAATCTTCTCATTTTACAACCAATTCAATATTTCTGTGACAGGTGGAGTCACCTCCATGGACTCTTTTCTACTTCGATTCTTTCCTTCCGTCTTTCACCAGAAAAATTTGGACCAGTCCAACAATGAATACTGTCAATATGACAGTCAGATATTGACTACATTCACATCCTCTCTCTACATCGCCGCGCTCTTGTCCTCATTGGTGGCCTCCGCCATGACACGTAAATTCGGACGCAGAAACTCCATGCTCTTCGGCGGCGCTCTCTTCTTCATCGGAGCTCTGTTGAATGGCTTCGCTCAAGCTATCTGGATGTTGATCTTGGGTCGCATGTTACTCGGTTTTGGCGTCGGATTCTGCAATCAGGTATAAATAATTCTTCTGTCGGTAGTTACTATCTTTATGGTTTATTTTCGTCAACTAATGAGTTTCTTGTTACAGTCTGTGCCACTGTATCTCTCCGAGATGGCTCCGTATAAACACAGAGGAAGTCTCAACGTCATGTTTCAAATGTCCATCACGATCGGTATTTTGATCGCCAATGTGTTGAACTATTTCTTCGCTAAGCTGGGCGGTTTAGGGTGGCGTTTGAGCTTGGGTGGGGCCATGGTTCCGGCACTCATCATCACCGTAGGCAGCTTCTTCCTTCCCGACACTCCGAACTCCATGATCGACCGGGGAGATCACGAGGGAGCAAGGGCGAGTCTCGAGAAGATTCGGGGAATCCAAGCTGTGGACGAGGAGTTCGACGATCTCGTCACGGCCAGCCTGGAGTCGAAGCTAGTAGAACACCCCTGGAAGAATCTGTTGCAGAGAAAATACAGACCCCAGCTCATCATGTCCATCATGATCCCTTTCTTCCAGCAACTTACAGGCATCAATGTCATCATGTTCTACGCTCCGGTTCTCTTCAACTCCATTGGGTTCGAGAGCGACGCTTCTCTCATGTCCGCCGTCATCACCGGCTTGGTCAACGTGCTCGCCACCGTCGTCTCCATTTATGGCGTTGACAGGTGGGGAAGACGGGCCCTCTTCCTCGAGGGAGGATTCCAGATGCTCATTTGCCAGGTACATTTTGCGCAACTCTATCTATACACACACATAATTGCTTCTTTCTTTCAAATTCAAATTCAAATTTTCTGAGCTGACGGTGGTGTTGGTGTTTGTGGACGACGCAGATTGTAGTTGCAATCGCCATTGGAGCCAAGTTCGGGACCAACGGGAACCCGGGCGTGTTGCCGATATGGTATGCGGTCGTGGTGGTGGTTTTCATATGCATCTACGTGGCTGGGTTTGCGTGGTCGTGGGGTCCTTTGGGATGGTTGGTGCCGAGTGAGATTTTTCCGTTGGAGGTTCGGTCGGCGGCTCAGAGCGTGACGGTGGCCGTGAACATGTTGTTCACTTTCGTCGTTGCACAGATATTCCTTACCATGCTATGCCACTTGAAGTTCGGGCTGTTCATCTTTTTTGCCGTCTTCGTCGTTGCCATGACCATATTCGTCAAGTTCTTGCTCCCGGAGACGAAGGGCATTCCCATCGAGGAGATGACTAGGGTCTGGAAGGCACACTGGTTCTGGTCTAGATTCGTGGATCAAGATGAGGTCGACAATCCCATTCAGATCCCCAAATCCCCATACTTTGTAGATACTATAATTTAGTTTTGTTCAGTTCAGTTCAGTTTAGTTTATTAGATATTTTAGGAGCCTATGATTCTGTTCTAAATTTTTTTGACCAACACTCTGTTTTAAATTTTTCAATTAATTTTTTGGTAATGAGAATAATGATATTTTCTTTTATATAGTATTTCATATTATATTTATTCTAATTCTGATTCGCAATGAGATATTGAATTTGAACGTATTGGCAATGAAAACAGAGTGAAGGAGTCTAGAAAAGAACTATGCTCTACTTGAAAAAGAAAAAATATATAAAATTGCTCCCTTTGGGAGAATTCGTGGAAGCTAAGCTAAACAAGGTAATTATACAAGAACAGAAACTTCGTTACTAGAAAAGGTCCAGCCCGATCAGCTAAGTTTACTTAAGACCTTGATGTTAATATTTTGTATTTCATTGATCCCTCTTTGGTTGTAAGAGGCTAGTAGATTCGGATAAACAAGGAAATCATAAAAATAGTCGAAGAAGTATAGTCAATGAAGATGAAAACCTGAATTTCAAGAGAAGAAACCACAATGAATATCTAGTTGAAAACAAGCCAATCCCCAATACTTACTGGGGAGTGAGGATGAAAACAATACCGGGCTTTAGACTTTATTCACAAAATGATTCAGCCCAGATTCTTTTACTTTATGACATCGCTTCAGGCAACTAATTCTCAATAAATGTTAAAGTACATGCATCATCATGATGAGTTCTCATAAGTTCCAACCTGCCTGTACTGTGTTTGGGTTGGTAGTGCCTTTGGTAAGCATAGAGAGGTTCTCCTCCATAGCTTCCTCCTTCTTCCCCTCTTCCACCACCACCACCACCACCATATGGATATGGACTCCCAAACAGATAATCTGCAGTTCCTTTCCACATGTTCTCTCTGTAGCAATAGTCGCCTTCAACTTCATCACTCGCTCCTTCACAACACTTCTCTCTTTTCTTCATTCGTGCCACACAAGGCCAATACCCAAACAAACTTTCACAGAGATCCAAAGTTTCCAAGCCATACCCAGAAGGATATTGGAGAGGCACTGCCTTCTCATACTCATCATAGTGTCCTCCATTATACCCACTGCCATGACCACTTCCATTACCGGACCTAGAATCACCATCATCACCATCATCTTCTTCTTCTTCATGTTCTTTGATGTTTTCACCACCATAAAAATTCGGATCCGGAGTACGATGGACCTTGTCCTCTTCTTTCAGAGGCAGATCTGCAAGGCTAATTTGTGGTTGCGGCATTTTATCAGGAACTTGGCCTGCACTTTCATTCTGGGGTACGATTGCTTTCTCATTATCAGTTCCCTTTTCCACAGCAGGCAATGGCACTACAGACCCAGAAGGAACAGCATCCGAACCAGACCCAGAACGAGGATAGCAAGTCTGATCTGAAGGTGGCAGAGGTTTTCCATAGGTCTCAACAATATCGTACCCACCACCATAAGGGGTCGGATCAAATTCATCAAAATCAGGCTCGTTAAATTCCAAATTAGAGTAATAAATAACAAGCTGAGACTTGCCATAATTCGGATCATACACAATAACTTCTGGTTCACTGAAAGTGGCAGCAGAGTATGACATGGTAGGGTAACTCAGAGCAGGGAAGGTAGGAGTAGGATCATGATATGAACTTGAATCATACCCATAACATGGTTGATTTAATTGTTGATAATTATAGGTCATAAAACCTGGGATTTGAGCAGAATCGTAATTCACAGCATAATAATTGTAATTGTACTCACCAAAACCAGACGTCGCATAGGAGGAGTTGTAAAAGGCCATTGTTGAGCAGAGAAAGTACTCGGAACAACGGGCAAGGATTGAATCTTCTACCAAAGATGAAGGCAGCTTCTACCAAAGAATGAGGGTTGGTTCGTCTTCGTCATAGGCATAGCTCTTACCAACCACTAGAATCTTATCTAAAGAATGATAAAGTATGAAGATGAGCACATGCAATTTATTGTTGAGGGATATTGAAGTATTGGAGGAACTAGTTGGTGGTGCCACATTCAGAAGTAAAGCTCTTTTTCATTTTCCTTCCCCGTTTGTCATGCTCGGGGTACGGACACTTGTAAGTTCAATTTCAGCAACTTAATTTTCCTTATTTTTATTTTTTTAATTGAAATTCTTATTTCCCAAACTTAACTGCTTATGAATATACAAAGGATTTGCTTAAAATTTCTTGCGATTTTTTCAAAGAAACGAAAAACGATGACATGATTACTATTTGATATTATAATCTTATTTGACTATCTTCACAACTATGTTTCAGTGTATGCAAGAAACTAAGGAAGTTTCATAAAATAATTATTTTTATTAAAATAGAATGTTTTTTAAAAAAAGCTTCAAATAATTTTTTGAGGATTGGATGAATCATAAGAAAGCGAAAGCAACGGAATAAGTGGGTGGGACCCATGTAGTGATGCCAATGAAGAAGAGAAGACAAGGGATATAAAGAAAGAAATGATTATAGATGTTTACCCTTTGAAGCCAATTATGGGGCAAAAGGATAATGATTAATGATGATGCCAAATGAACCATCACAATCCTTAGCCCTTGCATCAGACGGCTTACACAGACAAGCTCTGAAAGAGACACACCCCATAGAACATCTCCCTACTTCATGTATAGAAGAATTTAGTTAAAACTTGGAATCTCGATCTATGGGGGATTTATCATTTGCCTTCGGTATTTTATAAAATATATTTTATATTGTCAAGGATATACTCCTTGTACTTAAAAATAATACCTTATTATAATCATTTTCATATCAGCATGTGTGGTTGGAACTCTCGTATGTTAAGAATGAGTAATTGATGGTTTGCTCTCTCTAATTCTATGTACATGTCACTTATAATCTAACTATCTCATAAAAAGTGAGAATATATTGTTAAATTATTGATGTTTCAACAAGAGAAGAAATCTCTTAAGTTACCCATAGTAAATACATTATATTTAAAAATATTCTCCCTCATCTGCAACATTTTACTCACCTCATAAAAAATTAGGTACGTTACAATTAGAAGAAAATAATTAATGATTCATTTTTTAATATAAATAACATATATAGGATTGGGGAGAATAATTTTTAACCCTTGCATTTGAAACAAATAGTGTATGCTTGTCTATCCATGCAAAAAAGGAAAAAAAAAAAAAACTTATTTAAAATTGAGATTTCTCACAAATACAAAATCTACCTACCCAAACGTCACGGGATTAGGGATTGTTGGATCCAAAGTCTTGAATAACATAGACCAAATCTACCTCTACCCTTAATTGGGTCTGAATAAGCCCCACATCTTTAATTGGGCCTTCATTTTTCTTGTTGGTTACTACCTATTGGGCCCAATTTTAAGCCATGAGTCTTGTCAGATCTTTTTTGGGCCAAGAGTATTTCAGTATTTCAGGCCTACGAATTCAGGAAAAGAAAAGGAAAAATACTAAATTAGGGACTTCAGCCAAAAACTGAAGTCAAGAAACAAAAAATTAGTAGCAGACTTCTGGCCATATAAAACATAGTTGTGTACCACGGGAATAAAAAAAAATATATAAGTGTGTGTGTGTGTATTCATATTCGTGGATTAAAGATAGCTCTTATATCAGCCGTTTAAGAAAATTTAAAAAAGAAAAAAAGAAAAAAATGCATGATGCTGGTAAAACATTGAGCCAGTATCTTGACCAATTTCAATGTCGGTTCTTAATACTTTCCTTAGAACAAAATATGACTAACGTTGCATATATCTCTTTATATTATGTGTTATCCATTGAGTATATTGAGAAAAATTTCATCCCTTCAAAACATCGAAATAGGTGTTAAAGTCGGTCGGGATCATACACCTTGTCTGGCTTACAAGTTTTATTCAGAAATTATTGAGTTCTAATAATCTTGGATTGCGAGCCCATGAAAAGAGAAATTGAAGCTAATTAAAGCTTTATATTACTCAGACCTCTAACCTCTCCATGATCATCAGCTTCGTTTTTTTTTTTTCCCGCTTTGTTAATAGCTCAGATTTCACCAGTCAAAAGCCGGAAATTAAGATTGATTTATGTATCGATGCATTGCATGGATTAGCTTGGTTAACATATTAAATTCATTCAATCAAACGAGTCCAACTCAAACTTAATTGTGAGGTGTCTTTCATTCCAAACCAAATATGGGATGCATGGTTTAAGTAACTTACCCTATAGCAAAATATTGCTTTTGTTTATTATATATGTGGTTGACCAAAAATAATCTTAAAAAAAAATGAACGTAGTCTATCTTAATTAACTAATAACATAATCATAATATACACAATAAATTTAATGAGTCAGAGATTATCTAATAATAATTGGTACTCAGTCCAACACTAATACGTGCCATTATTAAACAAATTAAAAAAACCTGTTGCTTATTTTATCATAGTTTTTGACCAAATCTTCTTCTTATTATATATATCAGTGGTTCAACAGAACTGCATATATATAATAGTATACTTATGAGATGCAAAAAATGAAGATTAGGATGATCCACCAGCAAACAAACAAATTAACTCGTAATGAACAGTACTTCCATATTAATCACCTTCCAAAACCAGTTCTATATATTATACATGTAACTGCTTCGGGTCCTATATCTTAGCTTCTTAAACACTGCCATATTTCTCGTGTCGTGTGTGCGTGTGTTTGTGTCTGCATATGTATATATATGATTTGTTGACTTTTGTTTTTGTTTATACACAAATATAATTATCTTAATTTTTTTATTTTTCGGAAACTTTAATACAGCAGCCACGTACCATATGGATAAATTAAAGAACAGGAACAGTTGCCTTCTACGTTGTATGGTATTGGGATCTGTAGGAAAGTTTCTATATCTTCATGAGAAATAAATCAGTTTGGATTCTCCTTATCGGTTTCCGCAGAAATTCCAACATAAATAAATCAACATGGTTATTTCTCTTCAAAAAATTGATAAAAAAATAAAAATAAAATAAAGAACGGATGGATATCCAACATAAATAAATCAACATGTTTATAATGTCAATTGATGGTTTGACTTTATAACATCTGTGTGCGCGCGCACACAATATATGTAAGTATGTATGTAAATTAACGTATCCTATAGTCTTTTTGTTTATAATGTGTGGTGCCGAAGTTGATTTAACATATATAATTGTTTTGTTAATTTTTTTTTTCACAAAGAGGACATGATTAAATTTTGTCGTTTACTGAAGATTATAATTTTTCTTTTGTTTCATTTGGTATATTTTTCTTGGATTAATCAAAAGAGTAGTAGACTTGAGCAGCAAGTGATATCAGTTAGAGACAAAAATTAAAGCAAAAAAAAAAAAGATGATAAAGAAAAGGTTACTGGTTTTGTAAGCAGAAAGAAATTAAAATGTTTGTATGCCCAGCAATAATAACTAACAGGAAAATGTCATCATATAATATTATTTTAAGGATAATTAGACACCTTTTTTATACATGCACTATATAATTAACAAAACATATCATAGAATTTATTATATTTAATCATTATTTGAATATTGGCTATTAATTTATTGATTATTGAATATATTAATTTGATGCCAAGCAAATTAATCCTTCTCTCACAATAGATTTGTAAGAGTTTTATGTACTCGTATGTGTGTACATACATTTTTTTGGGGTGGGGGGCAATATATCTGGTTGACAATTCACAACAGTACAAAAATGTTTGGATAAAAGTATTATATGCTTGACACTCATAAAATTTTATTCTAAAATTAATTGGTGGCAAGTGAAATTATTGTTATTTACGTACATATATATCTAATGTGTATAACTCCTTTAGGTATGTATGGTGTGTGTGTGTGTTGCTTTTTCAAAGTAGTTAGATTCATTACACTAGAATTGAAGAGATTAAAAAACAAATTATTGCATGTCAACCTCTGATGAAGTGATCCTGTGATCTCATGAACGTAGACCATCCACCTAAAATTGGGTTTGTACATTTCAAAAAAAAACATATAAATTTGGATTTAAAATTGAATGGCGCCTTAGAAGACAAAAGGGAGTGTTGGGGGCAGAGAATATGAGTCAATGAAGGAGATTCATTGATTGAGAGATTTTAATTCAGTCCTCAAAGCCAATCATAAATGGCTTTGTCTCCCCCTGAAATTAGACAATTTCGCTCTCAAATATTGGCACTCTAAAACCCTAAAGGCTTGTTTGGATAGAGAGAAAAGTAAGAAAAAAGAATAGGGAGAGAAAACTAGAAGGAAATTTTTTTAAAAATAATAATATTTTTTACTATTTTTAGGAGTTTTCTCACTTAATTTTTACCCTCATATTTTTTCCCTATGCAAACAAAAGGTAAGTCTCAAATTGTATTATAGCTAACATTTTTTTTATTGTATACATGAGTTATCTTATTGAAAGCAATTTTATTTGAGCCTAATCAAGTAACTAAATGTAAGCATAGAAATTTTAATATTGGTTCTTCATCATGTTATGTAAATTGTAATGTTTACAACACAAAATTCATAAAATTAATATTTAAAGCTAGTGGCCAACAATCTAATAGTGAAAGAGTGAATTGATGGAATTATTTGATGGTGAAGACTAAATTAAAGCTAATTAATTAACAAATGATGGAATATTTAGGCATAAGTACACTAGAATATTGCACAATCATTTATCTTTTCCCCCACGCGAAATCATCCTAATAATATTACTTATAATCTTCAACTTGTTATTGGAGTCATCCATTAATTAACACTTTAACCATCTGGTCGCATCCCACTTAATTAAATAAGCAAAATTTTTCAATTCAATCCAAAACTTTTGCATGTCATTCTTTTTCTTTCTTTATTTTTAGTTTTGTTTATTTCATAACTTTAATGATTCTATTTGACTCGTTGTTGGTGTGTATCCACGTGGAAACAGTTTCTCAGTCCATCATGGAGCTGAAGAATTTGTGTGGATCAAAGATATGATAATACACCTTATTTAATAATGCCCATCAACTTGTTCTGGATTATCATCAATCAATGGGAAGATTATATCGTGTTATTGATCAACGGGTTAAACTCAGTTTTCAAAATTTTGTTTATAAAATTAATTGCTGACGATCCATTTCATAGTGTGCTTTGTATGCATCACAGAAGATGTAATTAAATTAAAAGCCACTATATCAAGAAGATGCACAAACAAAGAGGAAGATGTGTAACAATATTGAATGACATGATTATCGTTGACTAATAATAAGCTTCCCATTACCTTATGTCCATAATAAATAAATAAATAACATACCTTGCCATTACCAACAACCCACAAGCAGGGTTCATTCGCACATTCTCTCCTTTGAATATTTAATTGTAGAGTTCAAATTTAAATATATATATATATATATATATAGTTCAAAATATAAGTTAAATTTTTTATCCTAGAAAAATTTAGGGAATTGTAATAAAATTTGACAAGATTATACATTTTTTCTGTTTAATATTATAAAATATTTTTCAACTAGCATGCCATGTCTCAGAAGGGGATTAGCACCACATTAGCTTTTGATTGGGCCCCACAAAGTCAAAAATATTGGTGGTTATATATAAATTAATGGTAGGGGTAATTTGTTATTCAAGTAATGATTTAGAATTTAGGATGATATTTGAGTAATAGTTTAGGGCCCAAGATACTCATTAATTCTTTTTTTTTATTCTTAGCCCCAACTATGAATGATGAATTAAACTAGAAATAAATCAAGAATGAGGATAGAAAACACAATAAACCATGTTAATAAATATAATATGTAAAATGAGAAAAATAATTTCTACAACTATTAAGTTTCTTATATTTTGAATCAAGATTAGTTAAAAAAAAAAAAACAACTTACAATTTGGACAAGAGGGAGTATAAAGTATTTTAATTTGTAAAGTATAATTAATAAGAATTTTCTAAAAAGCCCTTGATTGATGGTATAATAAGATATTCTAATTGAAATATTTTATTAAGTAATTAAGGACAAACATTAAAAGAATGTGTAATTCGGGGATTCTAGAAGGGTGGTAAGGCATGACATGGGCTTGCTTTATTGGGTGTACCTGATGTGCATTGGAACATTTTGTAAACAACAGACGACGCCCACATTGCTCCAAAACACCTTGCACCTCTAACATACTTTCTTAGATATGTATCCTAATTAACTCAACTTTTTGACTCCAAGTCAACTTAACATATATATTTTATTTTCTTTACATTTTTTATTATATAATTTGTCTTCCCATGTTTTGCCCCTAATCCATCAATTACTTGGTGAGACTCAGCCGCTGCTGAATTTGACGATAAGCCTTTTACAGTTGACATCAATTGAAAGTAGTCTCCCATGGTCGAAAATATTTGACCTATTATTTTTTACCACTGAAAATCAATATCTCAATTATTTTACCAATGTTCTCGACCGACATGATTATTGTCAATGTATAATACTCCCTCCGTTTTAAATTATAAAGCATTTTTAAATAAATTTTTTCATCTTAAAATATAAAATACTTTAAATAGATTAAGGTTTTATTAAATACATTAATTTTAATATTATTTTTTATAATTAATTTTCATCCCTTCTCTTTTCAATATATTAAATGATAGGTATTTTTTAAAGTTTATATTTTTATTTTAAAAAAATAAGATTGTTAAGTGTATTTAATGAAGTTTATTGATATGTGAGATTTTATCTAAAAATATATTATAATTTAAAACGGAAGGATTACTATATATTTTAATAGTATTGCTCATATTACATCGTGTAAAATCTGTAATTCAAACATTACGTGACTTTCAGATCTACCCCCTTATTGATTCTACGAGGTCCAGGAAAAGAAGGTGAACATTGGACCATCAAATAATGGTCCTCAAGTTTCATCTTTACAGAGTTATTTTAATAATGATTTACATGATCACTACTTATCTTTAATTTGGGCTAAGAAGGGAAGAGGTTAGCTATACTCATCTAAAATAATTATGTGTATATATGTCTATAATGAAAAATCAAGACACGCGTCATTGAAATAAAAGATCAGGTCATTATCACTTTTCATCATCAAACATCCCTTTGCATATAAGGAACACAAATTTTCCACAAGGGAGTGTTCTAAAACCCTAATTAATTAAACCATTATTATAAGTATAATTTTAAACAAAGCAAGACCAGAAAACACAAGAGAATTAGAATTGGATTCATAATCCCCCCTCTCTTTCTCTCTCCGTTTGGTACAGAAAAAGATTCCCCCCCCCCTTCCCTTTTTTTTTTTAAAAAAAAGGAACATTGATATAAATTTTTTTATTCTAATTATTTCAGTTATTCAGTCTCCCTTGTGTCATTAGTCCAATCATCCCCTCATTATATAACTATGTCAACAAGGTTCTGGTAATATCCACTTTTCATACCCTAATTATAACCGTTTCCCATATAAAAATAATCTCATTTCTCTCTACCCTTTAATCCAACCTGAGATTCTACCCATCAAAATCCTGCAGTTTCAGAAGAGCATACACACACACACACACACACACACACACACAGAGACACGCACAGACACGCACCGGATTCAATCAAGCTGGATCCAGCCATGGCAGAAGAGTTTGAAGCTGCTGGGATTTGTGGTGGGAATTGGTGGAATATGAGTACTTGTTCATCAAGAAGTGTATTATTTCCTCTCATCACCTCATCGCCATCATCATCCCTCTGTTCTATTGCAGCAAATAGCGATGGAGGCAACTTTAGTTGTACTTGGCAAACTGATAGTCTCGTAGATCTGAAGTCGCCTTTAGCTTCTGTTCATCATCATCATCATGATTCTCTGGGTTTTCTCGTTCAGCAGGAGCAAAACCAGAATGAATCACCATCAGCAGCAGCAACTACTGAAAATAATGGAAACATAATGATGGATTCCACCTTGGGCTTTGCATCAACTACTTCATCCAATAATTGGAATAACCACTCTTTGCTGTAAGTTCATCAGTGTTTTAATTTATTCCTCCCTGCAATTCTATATATACTTATATGTAGTATCCTGAATTATGTTCTTTTTATTGATAGTGGGAGACCAGAAAGAAATTTTCATTCTGTGCTTGAAGAAGAAGCTGGTGGTGTAGATTCTTCGAATTCAGAAATGATCCAAAAGGATTGGAGCCCGAGCAAGGGACAGGTTTCATCCATTAAAGATGCTTTCAAGCCCATGAACCAAGAATTTGCAATAGATCAACAGAATAATCTGAGTTGTGCCTCATATGGTTACGGCCTATACGATAATGATGATGATGATGAACATAATAATCGTCTTCATCATCATCATCATCTTCAACCACAGCCACAACCAGAGGACTCGCTTTTTACCAACCCTTCTGTGGCTTATAATAGTTACAACAACAATCCATCCAATGAAGTTTCGCCATGTAATTGGTCCAAAGTCTCTGAGCACTTTTTGAAGCAGCCTTCGATGCCAAAACAGCAGCTCGGTGGACTCCACTTTTCAAACAACAACAACAACAACAATTCTCCTTTTTGGAATAATGCCTCAGCTGAAGCCCTTGATGACGTACCAGCACCACATGTTTTTGTTTCATCTCAACAATCTCAAACTTTTGAACAGCACAAACCCATTTGCTCAGCTCTCTTAACCAAGGTAATTAATTGACTGTAGCTATATATTTATATACTATATTATATACAATTGACAGTTATTATATTTTCAAGCTAGGGTATAGATACGACAGACTTGCTGCTTTTGTTCTTCAAGGACATTAATATACCGTTTATTAATCTCGCCCCTTGAAGTTTAATTATCTCAGTGAATAAGTCATGACAGAGATATTTTTCTCGAAATAATCACAGCACCATTCATTATTTTAGTACTTTGTTACAGTATGTGTTAATAACAAAAGAATATTATTGCTTGAAGCTTCAGAGATATACTGGAGTTCCAATCACACATGATCTAGCCAGATAGAATGAAATGCTTTCTAGCTAGAAAGTTGATATGTCATGACATTATTAATGCTTTCAAATATGAAAAAAAAAAAAAGTAGGGACGAAGTGCATCTTTCAAGAATAAAAATATCAATTCACTTACTGGTATTTCAAAAAAGTCTTATATACGCGTATCTATCACATGCAATATTCTATATCTGTTGTGTTGTATATATAGCTAAGCATATTTGTGGTGCCGTACGAGTTCGTGAACTTGAAATGGAAACTTGCAAAGCAACTAAACATTGATATCCATTTATAGCACAAAAGAGAAGAGGCTCCTGTTTGTGAACCGGCTGCATTCAAAAGGCCCAGAATTGAAACCCCATCACCACTGCCAACTTTTAAGGTACTTTATCATATATGCAATATATATATATATATATATATATTCGAAGCTTTTTGACTTTGCAGACTCTGATGGGATGGTTGAGGTTTATTCAACTTGGATCGTGATTGTAGAAATAATTTGGTATTTATGTGTATGGCCAGGTTCGAAAAGAAAAGTTAGGGGACCGAATCACTGCTCTTCAGCAATTGGTTTCACCTTTTGGAAAGGTGAATTAATTTTTTTCCCCCTCTGTTTGTTTCCTTTCACTTTGTTTTGCCTCCGCCTTTGTGCTCCGAGACAGAATTTGAACCTTTATTTTATTATATACGGACGTTGATTATTTTCAGAGACAAATCTCACCCAATGAGTAATATCATATTCTCGCTGATTTTTATAGACTGACACGGCATCTGTCCTTCACGAAGCTATCGAGTGCATCAAGTATCTTCATGATCAAGTCAGCGTATGTTCCTAACCTTGCTTCAAGCAAAACCCTTATTCATTATTTATGCATTAAAATTTTGTTGGGGGAAAAAAAATATGACTTGAAGATATGAACTTCTCATTCCCATATTAAATTTCAGGTTTTGAGTGCTTCATATTTGGACAACGGACCTCCTGTCCAACACTATCAGGTGCTTCAAAATGAACCCTGACATATTATATATTTATATATTAGATATATCAATTCATAGAACTAACATTTGTTCTTTTTTGGGGCTAGCGTTGTGATGAGAAAGAATCAAAAGGGACAAAACAAGATTTAAGAAGCCATGGATTGTGCTTGGCACCAATATCGAGCACTTTCTCACTTGCTAACTATGAGATGATGGCTTCTGAGTTATGGACGCATGCATATGGAGGAGCTCTCATGAGATAGATAGATAGAGAGAAGACGAATCACATACCAATGAGACAGCAGTCAAAAACATAGTTGGAATCTTCAAAAGTATATATGAAGGTTGTGAAGAAGTGTACATATTATTTCAAGTGACGAGAAAGAAAGTGACATGATAGTAATGGAAAGTGTATGCTTATTAAGTAGGACTAATTTTCTCTCTGTCAGGATACTGTTCTTTTTCATCTCACTTCAGAAATATTGTAATTAACCCAATTATTAGCTATCTGGAAAAGGAAGAAGCAGACATCCAAGCTACAAGTGGTGATCGTGGAAGAAAAAGAGAAGAAAAGAGAAAGAAAAGGATTTGTAACCTAGTTACAGAGAATAACATGAAATACTGGGCCAGCCGTGTTTATATATATATATATATATATATCACACCGAATGCTGTAGGTGGCAAGCAAGTGATTATTGACCAGTGAAAGAGAATATATGAGTGTATATATATAATGGCTGGCTAAGCAAGCAACTTTATAATCTTCTCATGAATATCATTTGTACTGTTGCTAAATTCTGCTCTATTTCACTTAATTACGGCTGAATATTGAGGCTAATATAGAGAAGCCCTCTGTTTGTGCTGACTGTGCGTTGATGAATGTTGTTATTTAAATTCGTGTATCTTTTCATTATACGACGGGGAAAATTGAAGAAATTGATAATAATTTGAGAGGCTTATGTCTGTTCTATTCAATTCTTCTTATTTTGGCGAAACAGACATAAGTACATACACGTCTACGTATGCATGTATGTACAGTTTCTTCGTTTGTTCTCTTAATTTGTCGTTATACTAATGTTTATTTGCGGAGGCAAGCGTGCATGCCTCTAATTTGAGTCTCGTGTCTCATTATTACTATTTCTTTTTCTTTCTTTCCTTTTTTTATTTTAAGTAAAAGGAAAATTTCAATACTCATTAGGACATTGTGCAAACAAAGGCAACACAGGGAAAACAAAGAACGACAGCCTATCCATCAGAAAATTACACCAGAGATTTCAAAACGGTAAAGGATCTAAGAGTACGGACATTATTGCTATTTCTTTAGCATTGACTTAATACGCTTCTCAGATAGTGCTACGGTGATACGTTGCACAGCGCAGTACATAACTACATATTTAGAATATACCCTACGCTACAATTTTTTAATATTAAAGTTAATTAAAATGTTGAATATGTAGATATGTTAATTAAAATCACGCAAAATTTAATTATTGTAGCGTAGAATCACATGCACAGTGTTATAAAAATTTCTTTATTTAAATATTATTATTATTGCTTTATAAATTGTTTACATATTCTTGTTAATCCTATTTCCATATTAATGGTATTATTTCTCACAAGCAATTTAATTATTTAATTCTATGTTGATATAAAATTTTTATTGCAATGATTTGTGTGTGGAGGAAATGATGATAATTTTGAACAACGGAAAGTAATAGTTGAATAATATTTGAAAATGAAAATTTTGAAACTATTTTCTTCTTTTCCATACACACTTGATTTTAATGAGGAAGATTGAGTTTAGAATGCTGGATGCTAATAACAGTTTCGTTAGCCCTTGGTGCGTCATGGTACCCCTAGCTAGCAAAGTGATTATGGGAGGTGTTAGCCCCATGCGTAAGCCAACACACGTGGAATGAATGGATGATTATTTGTGAGCATCATACTCACACTTGTTCGTGGGCCTCATGCCTGTGCTTGACTCGTGACTTTAGCTGCACTTGTTTCATGGCTTTCAATCACCTTTAATTGGTTACTTACTCTCATGGACTATGTATCTACGTTTTGTTAATTACCCTCGTGGACTCTGTGTCTTTGCTTGCTACTTGTTCTAATAAAGTCCTCCTAAATCTAAACTTAAATTTTAATTATTTTTATATTTTTTTAAAAGCATTCTACCTAGTTATACCGTTGCTTGAAATTTGTATATTCTACGAACATTATAAATTTTGATAAATTATTTTGCCCTATTAACATTGTTCAAATTCATGATTATATCATTGAGAAAACTTATTATTTATTATTATTAGTTTAAGTTCATGTTTCATTATTTCAAAATTTTTAAATTAAATTTATTCATTAATGTCTTCATATATTTATATACATATATAATTGGAATGCTATTCACTGATAACTTTTTTTATCTCAGATAGTGTAGCTAACTCTATGCCTTCAACAGATCATTGAGAAGTCCTTTTGCCTTTTTGGGAAATGAGGAGGCATACTGTGATTATTGTTTTGATAAAACTATACATTGTATTTTGCAATCATAACTTAGTGCTCCACGTACACCATAGTTAGGTCCTAGTTTTATTTTGTTATTATGTAAACTGCTAAAATAGAGCTAGTCTATCTCCTTGCTAGTCTGGTTGGCAGGTTTTGTTGCTGTTGTAAATATTTTAGAAGGTCTAAATTATAGGGAAAACTCTGCCAAAATTTCTACAAAATATTTAAAACTTTACAAACTTTATTATTATATTTAACTTATATATATCGATATTTTAACTTAGTTCTTAATCAATCAAGGCTTATGGGATATGAGTTTATCTCATATTTCATGCCGATCACACCCTTAGCATCAGGGTGTGACAATGAAAGATCTAGATAAGGAAGGAGATAGTGAAAAAGAAGATGAGTACTAGCAAACAACGAGGATTCATGTAGGAGAGGTACTCCTAAACCTCTGTTGTGTAGTGTCTTTAACACTCTCTTTGCAATTTAGCATAACAATAGGAACTAGGGCTTAGGATAATTTCTCACTCGAACAAGAAGAAGCAAAGATCACTGATACTGACGTGAAACAAATGGGCTCATATCAATATTGTCCTGTAGAGCCAAGGGAGAAACTTAAATCATTTGAAATACATAGACATTATAATTAAAAAACACTAATTCAAAACCTGTCTGTCAAATTACCCTGCAAGTCATAGAAGGAAAACCTAAACAGGCTATCCCAAAAAAAGTCAGCTACAAGATGACTCAGCACCTAAAACCTTTGTACATCAAGGCCCCTTTCGATGGTAAACTAATGACAAGGGTATTAGTTGATAATGGCTCCATGGTCAACATATTTCCAGCTCGAGTAATAGTTAAGATGGGGCAAGATGAGTAGGACCTAATTCCAACTGAAATGTCTATGGTAGGATTCACGGGGATCACCTCACGGGTTCTAAATGTATTACCATTACAAGTGGATGTTGTAACATCCTAATTTTTTTTAGATAAAAAAAATTGTTGTGAAATTTAAGTTTTTATTTAAAAAAATAATAATAATAGGAATTTATATTATTTGAGGTTATTTGAAAATAATAATATAGTTAAAAATTTAATTATAAATTAAAAACTTAGATTTAAAATTATATAAGAAATATTTTATTAAGATATAATTTTAAAATTTAAAATAAAAAAATTATGTGTGTATGTGAGTTAAAAAAAAGAAAAGAAAGTAAAAAAAGAGGGGGCATTGTAGAAGTCCCACATCGATTAGATGTGGGAAGGTGAGGTGCCTCCTCACATATAAAAGGAGGAGGCACAGGCGAGGAGGAGCAGAAGGAAGAAAAAGGAAAGTTTATACAATTTATAAAAATTGCAACTAATGGCCCAAGATGCAATTTGTAAAAATTGCAAGTAATGGCCCAAAGGTTTGAATAATTAAATTTAGACCTATAATTTTTTTATATATAATTTTGGGACCCACAATTCTATTTTTATATTATTTTTCTCTCTTCCTCTCACGCTGCTTGGCGTTTTCTCGCAAGGGAGATTATTTTTTTTCTTCGGATATATTCTAACTTTCCTATTTAGATTAGCATTTAAAAATTTATTTAATTATAAAATTAATTTTATAGTTATTTTCTAAATAATATTAGCTTTGTAGTGATATGATTATTTTGTAGGATAGAGTAAATATTCTGATTAAAATTTTTCTATAGGATAGTTAATCTGATGATATGATGGATTAAAAATATAGGTTAAAACTCTTAGGGATATAATAAATATTATAAAATATTTTCTTAAGGTTGAAACTCATGTTTAAGAATTTTTGAGTTAAAATCTAGATCTATATGGTTGAATTTATGTGGAATTTGAGATGTAAGGATGAACCTCTGATTATTAAATATTTATTTAAATATGAATAGGTATTTTTGAAGTTATAGAAAGGTGATTTGAGGCTTAAATATGATTTATTAAGGTATGAAAATTTTAGAAAAGAATTTGGAAAGTTAAATGAGGCATAAATCTTAAATTAGTGTTTTAAATTAGTATTAATATGGATTATAGATCTAAGACTTTCTAACTCTTTAAATTAGAGTTATTTATTTTAATGTAAAATTAATATATAGTATTATGAAATAACTATGTAGATTGTGTTGATAAAGATAGTGGTGAAAGAGGAGTTGTGAAGGGGAACTTGTTATTCAAGACAAAGGTAACCATTATTAATGTGTTATGATGAGTGTGTTTGTAAATGGTTATGTGTTGACTTGTTGTTTGAAAAAATTATGAATTATTGAAAATAAATACTGTTATATACTTGTTTGAAATTATTTCCAAGTGGGTCAAAAATTTATTTTTATTTATTATGATGAGATATTATTGTTCGAATATATTCCTGTTTGGATATTTAAATAATGCATGACTTGTCAGGATATTTTAATGTACGGTGTTAATGGAAATTTCTGTTCGGTTAATTATTACCACATGGTAAGCCCTCATTGGACCCAATGAGTGGCATGTCGCTTGATCAAACTTACCTTTGGCCAGGTGATTTGGCGTCCGAGCATGGCGAAAGAAGGATATAAGGCGCAGTCATGCAATTAAATACTTGTTCAGTTTGTTTGGAAATATTGTTCGATTAAATATTTTTTGTGTACCCACTTAGCAATCGCATGATTAGTTACATCCGCATGCATCATTACATATTAATTTTTGGTTACTGGGACTTTTAAGTCTCATTTCCCGTGGTTAATATTTTTACAGGAGAGAGTCCAGCCGAGAAAGTACCAGAGGCGTAACTTTGATGTATGAGACACCATCTTTTACGTTACCTCTCATTTTATATTATGCAATGTATCTTGTGCTAACCTAGGACATTTGTTATTTTGACAACATGTAAACTCTAATCCTTTTTATTAAATGTATTTATATGACCAAGAGAATTATGTTTGTCCCTCTTGATTCATGACCTGATTTAAATATCATGCCATGAGGATCCTATCTGTCCGTCATGGTTCTAATTGCTTTTTAAGATATTTTAAGACCTGTAGTATATTGTCTTGGATGTATTTTTCTACCATGATAAGGGTATGATAAGGTTTCAATAAAAAAATAATTTGTTGAATTAATAATTTGTGAAAATTGATTTGTAAATTTGAGGGTGTTGCAAACGTCGAGTCCAAATCATCTCTAACAGCCATTTTTGTAATTAGTACTATAACATAATATTAGGCCTTGTTAGGCCAAGATTGGATTCATGCCAACAAATGCATCCTCTCTTCCCTTCATTAAATGCTTCTCATGTGGAAATGAAAGAAGTGGTAGAGGTAGTTTAGGCAGAAGATAGACCATTCACAATAGTCACAA